TAAAGTGCAATAAAATATATATATATATATATATATATATATATATATTTAAAAAAAGAAATTACCTTAATAATCCATATTTTTAAAATACAGAGAAATAAAGGAAAGAAGCAGAAGAGGAACATTTCAGGAATGAAAGAAAGATTCACAGTATCTGATTACAGGCTGAACACAGCTAGAATAGCAAAGGGAGAAAGTTTCCAGAACAGACAATTACATAATTTAAAATACCACCAAATGACAACAAGGTCACAAAAGGAAATATAGTATGGACAGGTAATTTTTAAAAGTTAATTCAGGACCTGTGAAAATTCATGTATCTACAAGGGGATCTACATGAATAATCAGACCTGTTAGAAGTGTGAACCTGGCAACATAGTGAAACCCCTTCTCTACTAAAAATATAAAACTTAGCCGGGTGTGGTTGTGCACACCTGTAATCCCAGCTACTCAGGAGGCTGAGGCAGGAGAACTGCTTGAACCTGGGAGGTGGAGGTTGCAGTAAGCCAAGATCGCGCCACTGCACTCCAGCCTGGGCAACAGAGAGAGACTCCCTCCCAAGGAAGGAAGGAAGGAGGGAAGGAGGAAGGGAGAGAGGTAGGGAGGTAGGGAGGGAGGGAGAGAGGGAGAGAGGGAGAGAAAGGACACGGAGGGAGGGAGGGAGGGAGGGAGGGAGGGAGGGAGGGAGGGAATGAATTTCAACCTAGTTAAGACTAACAAACCTGTGAGTCATCTGCATTTAGAGAATGGCTGAACTAATAAAACAAAGTATAAATCTACTTAAAGAAACATACGTTTAAATGGTAGATGGAAGAGAGCTTCATAATAATAAAGAGCAGGCTTTAATACCCCATTTCTCTTTCACTTTGTTTTTAAAAGGTCAGTAAACAGACTGAGAAATTCAACTATTTTTAAATGAGCTGACCAAGTCACCCAAGTAAAAAAGAGGCAGAATCAAGATTAGAACCCAGGGCTTCAAAATATTTCCACTACAAAATCTTGTCCAAAATGATTACTGGTATAAAATAACTGGCTGGAACTTCATGGTGTCCATATATCAAAATTTTAGTCAAGTCTTTAGTTTAATTGGGTCAGGGGATTCCATTTGTCTAGACTGCCCAAAGTTTCTGGAGATCCATCAAACCAATGCTTATAATATTATATATTATAATATACGTAACAACAACTAGATGTTTTATGAAATTTATACTTGTTTTGTCCTTGGAATCTTAAAAGTGTAAACTTTATTGAAGACTATCCTAGTCCTTGAAAGATAAGAAGCATAAGGCGACTGATAATAAATGAAACAATAAAGATGAATTGAAGACTAATGAAGTTCCAAAGACTGTTCACAATGGCAACAGGCTGGAAAGATCTGATAATAATAAATTCCAAACTGCCTAAGAATAAAAATTACTGCCTCAGGTCAGCTTTCATAAAGCTGAATTCAATTTGAAACAAAATTAAACACGGCACATTATATACAAGTGAACAAATCAATATTTTCACAAGTCTTTTTCTAAAATAATTAAACACAGATATTAAAAAATATTTCCAACATACCCTAACTTTACAATGCGATAAGAGTCCCCACATTGGCTGTGCACAGGCCTCAAGTTCAGCAGCAAAGGCAGCATAGTAGGTCTGAGACTCAAATTCCACATGTTCATTTAGTTCTCGCTTGTTTAAGTTCATACCTTGCAAAAATTAAAGCAGATTTAAACCTTGTCAAATGGAAGCACACATTCAGATTAAATATCAAATACATTTAGCAGTCCCAAACACATTTTATGCACACAAATGGCATTACTGACACAGTACATATAGAAATAATTACTAAAAACAAAACAAACTAGTCCTTTCAGAATTTTTTACAATCTGTTTTCTTAGAAATATTTTATGAATTGTCTCATATAACAAATTCAACACCTTTTAATAAGAAAGTCAAAACAATTTTGTTAGTTGAAAGTTTTGTGTGTTATAAATCTTTCTCAGAAAATAGAATTCACATTTCTATATTAAGGGTTACAAATGCTTCAAAGCCAAGCACAGTGGCTAATGCATGTAATCCCAGTACTTTGGGACACCGAGGCAAATGGATTGGTTGAGCCCAGGAGTTCTAGACCAGCCTGGGCAACACAGTGAGATCCTGTCTCTGTTACAAATAAAAAAATCCAGTTAAATATACTCCTGTTTCTTTTCCAATCATTTGACATTTTTCCTAACTCCTTGGTATGTTTTATAAACAATTTATCAAAGTACTTACAAACACCAATTAAAATAATGAGACATTTCTTTTTTTATTTTTTATTTTTGTATAAGCAATCCCTTTATTCCATAACCTAGCCAGCATCTGTTACTTTTTTACCATATATATATATATATATATATATATATATATATATATTTATATTTTGTGCCTTAAGTTCTGGGGTGCATGTACAGATCGTCCAGGATTGTTACATAGGTATACACATGCCATGGTGGTTTGCTGCATCCATGCCCCCATCATCTACACTAGGTGTTTCTCCTAATGCTATGCCTCCTCAATTCCCCCACCCCCTGCTAACCCTCCCCAATACCCCTCAACCCTCAATAGGCCCTGCTATGTGATGTTCCCCTCCCTATGTCCACGTGTTCTCATTGTTCAACACCCACTTATGAGTGAAAACATGAGGCGTCTGGTTTTCCGTTCGTCAGTTTGCTGAGAATGATGGTTTCCAGCTTCAACCATGTCCCTGCAAAGGACATGAACTCATCCTTTTTATGGCTACATAGTATTCCATGGTGTATATGTGCCATATTTTCTTTATCCAAAATATTAATTAAAAAATAAAAACACTGACAATATCAAAAAGAAATTTTTGTTTTTAATATTCCAGAAGTTAATTTTTTGTAGTCAGATTTATCATTCTTTTATGTCTTGCTTAATTGCTCTTGTGCCTTCCTCTAACTCAATTCTGACCTATCTTTTCTTTGTATTTCTAGTTGTTTTTTAAGCATATAATCCTTGTCTGTCTAAATTTTACTTTTGTAAATCTTATTTTTTTCTGTTAAAAAAATAAAACAAAATAATGAGACATTTCATGTGTAGCCTGAATGATGTGCTATTGTATTTTAATCAATATTTAATAATTTAGCATTAGGAATTTTGTAAACCAAAAAATTAACGAAGGGGTAAAATTCATACCTTGAAAGAAAGATACAAAGTTCATCCATGTAACTAACAAACCATGATCCTCCAAAAATCTCTTTGCCACACTTTGATGAGAAAGAATATTAATAAAATCACTAACAAGAGGCCAGTAAGTGTTATTCTTCAGTAATGCTTCTCCACAGTTTACCACCACATGTAAACTATTTTCTTCATCTAAAAAAGACACATCCCAAAAATTGCATAAGGTTTTTTTAAAAAGCTTAGCCAATGATACAGAATATATACACTTTAGAATCAGATATGCCTAAATTCAAACCCAAGCATTCCATTTAATATCTATACAGCTTTAAGCACAATATTTACACTCTCTGAATCAATTTCCTCATCTATAAAGTGGAAAATAAAAATGCCCATCTTAAAAGAATTACATGAAGCATTAATAGAAAGCGCTTAACACATCGTTATAATTATTATCACACATCCAATATATGACATGATACTGAGGTAGTTTATTTTCTTGATTCTAATTTTCTTGATTCTAATGATATAATGCAGTATTTTCTCTTCCAATCAATTTTACCCCTACATTAATCTCATTTCATCTTATCAATCAAATCTGTATGATTTCTAGAGATGTACATTTAGTTGCTTTCTTCTATTCAAAAACTATCTCAATACAATTTTTAGCAAAAAATATTTCAAAGATAAAAGAAAAAAACACGTAAAAAAAAGAGAAAAAAAGACCACAGATTTCTTAGGCCTTAAAAAAAAATCCTCAAAATTTAAATACATCATTGGGGTGGTGGGGGGATAGGCTTCTACAAAATCTTTATCATTAAAAATTGTTAGTATATATACATTAGCTCTCTTTAACCTATTTCAACTTCACTGACTCACTGTACTAAGGAGTTTCCATTCCCACCGTAAAACATATTAATACCCATAATATATGGAATATTCAAGGCCAGCAACTCATTCTCTGTACACAAGCTGAGACATATGGCTACCTAGTGTCAATTTTTGCTCCTATTCATGCTAATTGTTCTTTTTATCATAATCATACAATTTAAATCAAAAATATATGAACTAATGACATGTGAAAGCACAGAGAGGTATTACAAAAAGTGAATCACATGCTTTTGAGAGAGAATAAAAATAAGTGCCAGGGAAAAAAGCTAAAAAACCTTGAGACAGAAAAATCATAAAAGCCTCTAAGTATTTTACACTCAGATTTATATTCTAACTCTATTTTAAAGAGGCTAAAATTGGAATCCACAGATGATGCTTTATAGATGTGCTATTTATAAAAAAGATGAGCGAGAACTCCAGTCAAGAAAACCACATCCTGAAAATGCTTCACCCAAAGTTAAAAGATTGCAGAATGAACACATAGTTCTGTTTTAAGTTAAAATACAACGTTTAAGGTATACATCTTTTTTTTTTTTTTTTTTTCAACGATGGGGATCTCCCTATGTTGCCCAGGATGGACTCAAACTCCTGGGCTCAAGCAATCCTCCCACTTCAGCCTCCTCAGTAGCTGGATTACAGGTGTATGCCACCACACCTGGCTCATATTTTTTAAATGATTCCTCACTTTAACCACCTTATTCATCTACCTACCTACCTGTCATACTCATCAGTCAGGAGTACCTCTAGGGCACTTTTAATTTCCAGACTTAGGTTTCAGTCCATAGAATTATTTTACCAAATATTAAACAAGTTTAACAATAGCTAAGAACAGGACCCACTAAAGTTAAGTATACTCTTTTTCAGTACTTCTCAATGGATGACAGAGGGTCTAATTCAATGAGGAAGTACGATTAGGGACTTTTTACACATTATTAATACCAACCCCTGAGATTCTGAAAAGCAACCCCCTTGACTGACAACTACTGAGCTAGTGAGCCATTGATATTGATGTGAGAGTGCTAAGGGATGCTGGGAATTTTTCAGTTAAAAATTGAAAATCACTGTTCTATTTAATTGAAACCAGAGGATGAATACGCAGAATATAATTAATCAAACTTGCTATTTTCCTGACACTGCTTAAATACTACTGTTCTTGTGAAAAATGTCTTGGAATCATTAATGAAATAAAATGATTAGCACTTCTATTTTTACTCAAACTGGTACTTTCCTCATTACAGATTTAAAGAGCAATGATTCAGTGTTAAATTCAGTCATCAACAAATATTTATTGAGCACCTATTGGTCAGGTTTTCAACTAATCACTGAGAATAAAGTGGTAAATAAATCAAGATTCAGATGATCTCTGTCTTCATGGAGATTAACATCTAAGAAGGCAGAGTGTGATAAGGGCTGTAATAGGAAAAGTACAGGGAGTCATAAGAACAAATAAAACTAGACTACAATTCAAAAAAAGACTTGGCCAGGCGCAGTAACTCACACCTGTAATCCCAGCCCTTTGGGAGGCCAAGGTGGGCAGATCACCTGAGGTCAGGAGTTTGAGACCAGCCTGGCCAACATGGCAAAACCTGATCTCCACTAAAAACACAAAAAAATTAGCCAGGCTACTCAGGAGGCTGAGGCAAGAGAATCACTTGAACCCAGAAGGTGGAGGTTGCAGTGAGCCAAGATTGTGCCACTGCACTCTAGCCTAGGTGACACAGCAAGACTCCATCTCAAAAAAAAAAAAGAAAAAGAAAAGACTCTTCTGAGAAAGTGAAGTTTAAACTGAGGCCTATAAAACAAAGCAGGAATTTGGATTAAGCAGATAAACTAATGAGGGTGGAGCAGATGGTGCTATAGGTAGAGGGAGCAGTACATAAGAAAAAGAATCACTTGGAGAAAGAATGCAGAGGATGCATGGTACAAATGAGGCTATAGGGTATTATAAATCAGTGTCAGGAGTTTAGAGTCCACATGAAAAGAATGGCAAGCCAGTAGGGGGTTTTAAGAGGGAGAACATTATAGAAGTGTAATGTGCAAAGTGACTGAAGGAGAGCAGCAACAACCAGAGATAAGGGGCCTAGAGATGGCCATGACCTGAACTATGGTGGTGGCATAAAGATGCAGTGATGAAGAGCCTATGTAAAGATATTCAGAAGATTTGAAGGACAGAGTTGGTAACGCCTACTGTATCTGCAAGGAGTAAAAAGAAGTCAAAGACGACTCCTAGGTTTTGGGGCTGCATAACTGTTTAGATGGTTATTAGACAGTGGAAGCAAAACACATACTCACGTGCTCATGTACACACACATACACACAGGATAATGTAAAAGAAGCCAGATTAACAGAGTGATAATGAGTCTTTGCTGTAGACAATGTATATCTGAGGTGTTTACAGATATCCAAACAATATGGTTCAATAAGTAGTCTGATATGCAGGGCGGAAAGGCAATCTAGGATTATGAGCATCTACAGATATGCCTATGTTGTGCAATACATGGTTTTAGATTCCGTTTTATACAGACTGTTTCAAAAGACAAATTCTAACATTTCTAGAACATGGAAAATTATGAGCTATGTTTGGAACCACAAAGCATATGGTATAAAATTTAATTTTATAAAAAAGTATAAAATTGAATATAAAAAAGCAAATTCTCATTGTATCAACTCCTGTATTTATTAAAAGTATAAATAAAATTTTTAAATACCATCTAACAACAATTCAAGCCAAGGCTAGACAGAAGCTGCTAAAAAATAAAAAGAAAGTACAGAGATTCTGTTGTAATATCTGTGGCTAGTTATGGTTAGCTTTAACATAGTTAAAGCCTGTCCTAATACTCAGTGTAAAAATGGGAAAAGCTTACGATACTTTTAGAAAAGCAGCATTTATATATATAAAATGTTTTATGCTACCACTGAAAGAGGAAAAAAATAGTATGGCAAAGTTTGAAGGCTTCTAAAGATAGTTTCAGACCTTGGCTGGAAATAATTTACTGCTAAAAAAAATACACGTATATTTAAAGATCTTAACAATCTCTACTTCAGCTTGTTGAAAATGCAATTGGTATAAGAATTTCCAGAAAAGGCTAACTGCATTAGAAACATATGTAAAAAGCAACTGATACCATATAATATGATTTCAGAAAAAATGCGAAAAGTGTAAAAAGCAGAGACGCTAGGACAAAGTGCTAAGAAATACCAACATTGACAAGACAAGTAGAGAAGACAGTTGGGCCACAGAAAGAGAATCAACAGTATGAAATGCTATTGAAAATCAAGCACCATAAACTCTAAAGTATGACCACAGGCTTCCTCAACGTGTAGTTTATAAAAAGGGTAACCATAAAATTTATGTTATAAACTGGGACACTTTTGAGCGTAAAAGGAATTGTATTAATAACTATGTCAGACTAATAGGCATAACTTAAGGCTGTTCTGGGAAAACTAGGACATATGGCTACGTGAGTCATGGACAATTTTGTAGAGAACAATTTCAGTAGAACGATGGGAGTGAACAATAGAATGAGGTAGGTTAATGAGTGACTTGTAGGTAAGGATATGAATATAAAAACTCAGGAAAGCTAGCTATTTAAAAAAAAATGGGAGGCAGACTTAGACACATCTTTTTCCCAAACATTAAATGTAAACCATAGGTAATAAGCACAGCTAAATCACCTAGTGAACAAAACAGACTCCAGATTCTTTTAAAAGAACAGGTACTTCTAAATTATGTTTTCTCAATTATGAATTTAAAACACCATTTCTGTGAAAAGTCTTTCCTTAAATATGTAATTCTATATAAGAATATCATTGATACAGCTGAATGACAATAGATACTATTTCAAAAAGGAAAAAAGAAAAAGCAATATATGTTGATCAATCTCTAGGAAAGAAAAGGTCATGTTACATGAAGTTAGTAAAACTATAACATAAGGTACCTTTTAAATTTTCCTTTAAAAAGTAAGAAGTAGATTGTTTAATGTAAATAATGTATTATGCTCACACTATACCTACAATGGGAAGGCAGAGTCACAAAGTAGGTAAGAAGGAGTACGGGCTTTGAAGTTAGACAGCCTGGCCTTATCGCTCAGAGCTGTGTAAGATCACAGATCACTGACTTCAACTCCCTATGTCTCAGTGGCCTTGTCTATAAAATGGAGATGACAATATCTTCAAAGAATTATTGATGGTTAAATGACATAATGCATATGAAGAACTGAGAAAAGATTCTAGCATATAGTTGAGTACTCTAGAGATAGTAACTATCATAATTAGCTAGCTATTATATATAACGCATTATGCCTTGCACTGAGTTCATATCAATTTTCAGGACATCGTGTCACATCTGAGAACAGACAGATTATCAGTATAAGGAGAAAAGAGAAGCTGATATGCACAAAGAGGCAACAGTGAAACAAAGCAAGGCTCAACTATAAGATTTCTCCTCCTCAGAAAATGGAGAGGTCCTACGATTTAATTAATCTGAAGTATTGTTTGTTGTTAAAGTTTAGCTCCTCGTGCCACCAAGTAAAGACACATCCTATCAAAGTGACACTGGCTGTGTAAACATTAATAATAATAAGAGTCCTGACATTAGGAGCCATGAAATCCTTCTTAACTCTGTCATTTGCTAGCTGTATAATCTATGGCAAATTGCTTCATTTTCCTAAGCCTCAATGTACTCATCTTTAAAGCAAGGATAATAATAATAATGCCAATCTCTGAGAGTTGCTCAGAAGCTTAATTGAAACAATATATGAATAGTATTCAACACAGTACCTGGTACATAGCAAATATTTAAATAATATATATTACTGGCTGGGCATGGTGTCTCATACCTGTAATCCCAGCACTTTGGGAGGCTGAGGCAGGCAGATCACCTGAGGTCAGGAGTTCAAGACTAGCCCGAGAATCATGGCAAAAAAATTACTACTAAAAATACAAAAATTATCCAGATGTGGTGATGCATGCCTTTAATCATAGCTATTCAGGAGGCTAGGCAGAAGAACTGCTTGAACTAAACCCAGGAGGCGAAGGTTGCAGCGAGCCAGGATCACACCACTGCACTCCAGCCTGGGGGACAGAGCAAGACTCTGTCTCAAAAAATAATAATAATTTTGTGTATGTGTAGATATATAATATAATATATATATATACATATATATAATATATATATATAATTTAAGGGAGGTGAAGTTAAGATGAATGACCGTAGAGAAATGAGAACAGTAAGAGGTATAGAAACATTATGGCAGATTGAAGGCTATCAACCACATAGTGGGCACAAAAGAAGAATATAAGTTCCCACTAAGGGAGTAGAGAAAAGGCAAGATTTATTCCAATTTTTAAGTTATAAAAGAATAAGCATGTAAAAATATCTAAGACCGATAGCAACAAATCTATGATTAAAAACAGAAACATGTCTAATAAGGAAATGACTAAATTATGGTATAGCCATGATATTAATACCTGCACTTTAAAAAGTATTAAAATGCATGTTTTTGACATGTACACTATGGCAACGTTTTTTTAAGTATTTATTGTATCTATAAATATAGTCATCACACAAAAAGAAAAGAAATACAGCAAAATGCTAACAACAGGTATTTGTGAATAACAAAACTATAAGTGCTTTTAACTTTTTCTTTAAACTTCACTGAAAATTTTCAAAAATGTTTGCAACAAATCTATATTTTATAATTTTTTTAAACAAGATGTTTTCAAGACTAGTTATACAAAGTTCACTAATAATACTAGAATAATATTAACTATACTAAGTTTTATTAGTAATTAGTAATATTACTAATAAGTATACTAAGCACACTAATAATACTAGAATCATTACACTGATAATAGAACTAGTGAATATAATTCTGAGTTACCTTGTAGCTCACTTTTAATAAGGCAACTTTCCATCATGTATAATAGCACAGTGACCATAATATCCAGCAGCTGACATTCTTCTGTTACCTGTCTGGCTAGCTCCTCATTGCTGAACAACTGAACACTAATATGCACAATTCTGTTAGACATTGTGTCTGATTCATGACTTTTCTTCAGTGTTTTCATAATGAAAGCATAATGCTGAACAAAAGTTTTTGTAAAAGCAACCTGTAAACATTTTAATAGAAAAAACACATTAGTTTTAATTTTTAATTTAAAACCATTTTCAATATATCATATTAACATTTTACAGCTATTCCTAATTTATAATAATGCCCAAGGTAACAAAAAAAATAATCTCAATGGTGAGGGTAGTCTTTCGCTTTTTTTTTTGGAACATTTGCAAAATATTCTGATGGCTAAAGAAAAAAAAATTTTTTTTTTTTTTTCTGAGATGGAGTCTTGCTCTGTCACCCAGGATGGAATGCAGTGGTGCAATCTCAGCTCACTACAACCTCTGCCAACCTCGCCTCCCAGGTTTCAAGCAAGTCTCCTGCCTCAGCCTCCTGAGTAGCTGGGATTACAGCCAAGGACCACCATGCCTGGCTAATTTTTGTATTCTAGCAGATACGAGGCTTCACCATGTTGGCCAGGCTGGTCTTGAACTCTTGACCTTGTGATTTGCATGCCTTGGCCTCCCAAAGTGCTGGGATTACAAGTGTAAGCCACCACTCCCACTCCAGTTTAAAAAATTGTTAAGACATTTTAAATTATTAAAATTGTAATAATAAATGCTGTGGTTTAAAACACAAGATATACTTTACTCACAAATGTATCAATTTACTGAGGTTAAAGTATGTAACTCTGTTCTGTGCTACCTACTTTAACAACAAAATCTAATAAAGTCTCAGCTATAAACTATTACAGAGGATTTAATATAACTAAATAAGTGAATCAATGTGATTATTTCAAAACAAATACCTTCTCCTTTTTGATCTGAAAGCTGACCACTAATCTGACTAAATGATCTGCAGGAGTATTTATTCTTACTTTTTTATTTATTAATTTTTTTGGAGACCAAGTCTCACTCTGTCGCCCAGGTTGGAGTCCAGTGGCACGATCCCAGCTCACAGCTCAATGCAACTTCTGCCTCCCAGGTTTAAGCAATTCTCCTGCCTCGGCCTTCCAAGTAGCTAGAATTACAGGCATGCACCACCACGCCCAGCTAATTTTGTATATTTAGTAGAGACAGGGTTTCACTATGTTAACCAGGCCAATCTTAAACTCCCAACCCCTGATGATCCGCCCACCTTGGCCTCTCAAAGTGCTGGGATTGCAGGAGTGAGCCACCACACCCGGCCATACCTATTTTTACTCTTATTTCCTTTCTGTGTAACATGTACATTTTCTGTTGTTGTTGTTTTTTTAATAGATATAAAGATACACAAAACAATGACACTAGTAAAGTGTCTCTCCTAACCTATAACATAAAAATTACAGCATGGTTTATTTTCTTTTTTTTTTAATACGCTGAGCTTTGTCACTTTGCCATAACCACATGATGGTAACATGTGGGTTCTGACTCCCTGGAACTAGAAACTTCACTTACCAACATTTGTATATGAGTCAATAACTGCTCTCTCTTTAGCTGTGGTGACCAAAAACTATTCAACCCATGCTTTTCCCAGCCTAACCTCACAATCTAATTTCAATTGTTCCCATTAAACCCTCTCATAGCACCTTGTAGTCTTCTTCAAAGGATTTAGAACAATTTGTAACTACATATTTATTTCTCTTAAAAAAAAAAAAAAATGGTGTTTTCAACGTTTGTTCCCCAGCATTCCCTCCAGACAAAGTTCCATGCAGAAAAGCAATCCTTTGGAATTCTGCTCAGTAATGCTGCTTTGCCACAAAGCTCAGACACTGTGCCTTTTGTGCAGAACCTGTGTTAGCAAGGGAAGAAGCTACTGCTTGTTTATAGTGTAATATCAACCCCCACCTGAGAAATATATCCAAAAAAGATTTAGTAATGAAAAGGCAAAGAAAAAAAGCTAATTTAGAAAAGCAGGAAAATATATAGATACCTTATACTCTTGATCTGGAAGCATGTTGAGTAAGAAAGTTACCATCTTTTGGGGGAATTCATATTTTATAGTCCAAAACAATAGTTCTTCTAGGAAGCTTTTATGTTTCAAAACATCCATTATGGATTGATCTGCACAAGAAAAATGAAATTTATCAGTTTATGATTGAAGTTGCTCATCTCATTTAAACCTTATATAACTAATAACACATAAACCATATGTGAGTGTATCTAAAAATTAAAAATATGCCTTCAGTAATGCAATAATATTGACAAGCTAGATTTCTACAATGTACACAGTATATAAGAAAAAATTTAATGCTTATCTTTTAATATAGAGCAGGAAGTGGAAAAATGAAGGGTAGAATGGATGCCCTTTTAAAATAAAAGTATTCAGTGGAAGATAGCATTATCTACTGGAAAGTCTAAGGCCAAGTGCCACTTCTTGAGGGCCAGTTGGTCTCTTGCAAAGCTCTGCATTCTTGCCAAGCTTAGTCAACAGAAGGTCTCAAGAGGTGTATGATGAACTAGTAATTTGAATACTTTCACTGTCTCTTTCTCTCACTAATTTCTTCCCCTGCAAATGAATTAGAAAATTCTGACTATTAATCTGTGTCAGAGGAAATGATCTTAAGTTACTGTTCCAGATCATCAGCTCTACCACAAAGATATCAAGAGGATACAAGAAGTGTCAACCATGAATGTACTGGCTCCAGTGACACTGCTTAAGCAGGGACCGGACTTAGATGAGAAACCGGAAAAAACAGTATCTCACATGCATCAAAATCCTCAGGTACAGCCCTAACTATTTCACTGTTTGAAGTATCCTGCAGGATAACCTTGTAGAGTTTCTTTTCAATTAACACTACCCCAGCTTTATACTTCTAGTATTGAATAATGTGTTCATCCCACATCTCCCCAGGTAGTGGGTCTAAATGAATAACAATAAGCTCAACATGTCATCACTTTTTATAAAACACTAAGTTTACTAAGGCTTGAATCAGTCCTTATTTTATTATTTTTTGAGATGGAGTCTCGCTCTGTCACCATGCTGGAGTGTAGTAGCACGATACCAGCTCACTGCAACCTCCGTCTCCTGGCTTCAAACAATTCTCCTGCCTCAGCCTCCCGAGCAGCTGGGACTACAGGTGTGCGCCACCATGCCCAGGTAATTTTTGTACTTTTAGTAGAGATGGGGTTTCACCATGTTGGCCAGGATGGTCTCAATGTCTTGACCTCATGATCCTCCCGCCACAGGCTCCGAAAGTGCTGGGGTTATAGGCGTGAGCCACTGCACCCGGCCCAATCAGTCCTTGTTAGATAAACCTTAACACAGTTTTTTAATTAATAACTAAAGAAAAAATGACATCAAAATATCCTATATATTCTGAAGTTATTATATCTAAAGAGAGGCAAACTCTATAGTTTCCAACTACAACTCCCTAATTCCATTTCAGTGATGACCTAAGTGATATATAGTAGTGGTTAACATATAAAGACAAGTACACTATACATGCTTTTTTTTTAGAGTCAGGGACTCATTCTGAGGCCAGAGTGCAGTGGCACAATCATAGCTCACCGCAGCCTCAAACTCCTTGGCTCAAGTGATCCTCCCACCTTATCCTCTTGAATAGCTAAAAAATAAATTAGCAGGGTGTGCAAGACCACACCCTGCTAATTTATTTTTTATTTTTTGTAAAGACAAGATCTTGCTGTGTTGCCCAGACTACATTTCTTTATTATTAGAAATTAAGTTATTATTTTCAAAATTCAGAATTTTCTACTTATAAAACAGAAGTCTATTCCTCCTGAAACAGATCACCTCCAGGGTATGACAATGATTTTAAAACAGAAAGAAACAAAGATAGCAAGAAATGAAGTAAAATACAGTCAAAAGACTCACTGACAGATTCAAAGACAAAAAATAATAAAAACAGAGCCCAAGAGAATCAGGTAGCAAGAATTTAAGATTTATAACTAAAAACTGTAATATAGGCTTGACACAGTGGCTCACGCCTGTAATCCCAGCACTTTGGGAGGCTGAGGTGGGCAGATGGCTTGAGCTCAAGTTTGAGACCAGCCTAGGCAACATGGTAAAATTCTGTCTCTAAAAAAAATACAAAAATTAGCCAGGTGTGGTGGCATGCACCCGTAGTCCCAACTACTCAGTAGGCTGAGGCAGGAGAATCACGTGAACCCAGGAGACAGAGGTTGCAGTGAGCCAAGATCATGCCACTGTATCCCAGCCTGAGTAACATAGTGAGACCCTGTCCTGAAAAAAGTAAGTAAGTTACAATCCACAGCACATTGCTGTACCTAATTTAATTCTCACAATCCACTTAACACAACATGACTGATAATTTCACAGACTACCAAAATAAAAACCCCCATTGGTAAGTGCTTCTTAATTACTCACAAAGCTGAACAAAACTAGTACTATTAATCATAGAATTCATAGTTATGACTGCAAGCTTGCACTAGCCATATGAAAAGCCTGAAGCCATCATAATTATTATTAGTCAAGCACTTAAAAAAATATATACATTAATGATGTTTTAAATCAATAAAACAACCTGAATATACCAGGAAAGCTGTGGCTTCTGCTAAAATAAGAATAGTTACAGTTATGCAGGATTCAATTTTTTAATCTGAAAAAAAAAAAAAAAAAAAAAACTCCAGCAATGTCTTCACTGTTGTTCTTAAAATAGGTGATGTCAGTCTCCCAAGATTTTAAAGCATATGTTATATACTTTATGTGTAATATTATGGAAATGTAATTAGAAATGCTTCTATTAGTTATGTTTGACTGTATATCTTTAAATATTGACATGACTTTTAACAATGTGTAAACTACCTTAAGTCAAACTATAAAAAGAGATTTCTGAAGAATCACGATGCAGTGTAATGCATGACTAAAGCAAAGGTTTTAATTAGGAGAGCAGAGTTTGGCCAGACATGGTGGCTCACACCTGTAATGCCAGCAGTTTGGGAGGCCGAGGAGGGTGGATCACAAGGTCAGGAGTTCAAGACCAGCCTGGCCAACATGGTGAAACCCTGTCTCTACTAAAAATACAGAAATTAGCCAGGTGTGGTAGCAGGCACCTATAAACCCAGCTACTTGGGAGACTGAGGCAGAGAACTGCTTGAACCCAGGAGCTGGAGGCTGCAGTACGCCAAGATCACACCACTGCACTCCAGCCTGGGCAACAGAGCAAGACTCTGTCTCAAAAAAAAGAAAAAAAAATAGCAGAGTTCAAGTTCTGCAACTCACTAGCTCAATAATCTTGGAATCTTGGACATGCAGTTAAAGCCCTCGAGGACTCAGTTTCTTCACCCTTAAAATGTAAGTTTAGAGAACAGGCAGTGATGAGGTTAGCATAGCGTCTGGCCTCTTCCTTGCCATTACATATTTTCTTTTCAGTGCACTTTCAAGCTGTTGAACAAAATTTTTACAAAAATTGAACCATTCCCTAAGCTTCAGATATCTTCAAAATAAGGTCAGTTTTTGAAAATACCTCGGGTTCTAATTCACAAAGCCATTCCTTCCATGTACGTACTTAAACTGAAAATGATAACTGATGAAGTCTTAAATCTCTATACTATTTCTTACCACTAAAGCAAGGAAGAGAAGGCACTCAATCCAAAACCACGTGTGAAAAAAGTTCAGGTATTTAAAAACAAATGAACAAAAAAACACTTCAACTTAAGTCCACACAAAAAATATCTTCAGTCAGAATGTGACCAGGCTGAAGGAAAACAATGACCTCCTATACCACAGCAGGTATTTTCTGGGCATCCCTAAAGCTTAAACTCAACTATGTGCCTAACAATTTCCAACTCAGATGTATCATGAGGACTCAGTTTGAGATTTGATAAGTTAAGGAGCCAGATGGTCATATGGGTTCCTAACTTCCTTCAGAGGTACAAGTTCTCTGCTGAGCCAGAAAAACGTGTGCATGTGTGCATCCTGGACTACAGATCAAATTCCACACTCTTTCCTAGCAACCCCCAAGTTAAATGCAGCAGCATAATAACTGAGACTTAGAAAAGGAAACTGCAACTCCAAGTACCTGCATGTTCCACCTTTCTAGGCAGTCCTAGATATTTTGCAAGATACACTTTATGGCAGAAGTAAGAAATTTCTTTTCATCAAAATAATATTTTAGCCTCTGGAGATTTTCTAAACAGACCACATGTTAAGATATGGAAATCCCTGGCAAAAATCCAAAGCACAGACTTGTCAACTAATCACAAGTATTCTAGAAAAGCTTTTAGTGACAGTCAAGTAAACACTGTGGTTAAAAGCTTAGGCTCTGGGATATGAATTAAGGATCTACCTGTCATTAGCCATAATCTCTAACATGTCACCATTTCTTCATTCATATAATGGTAATAACAATCAAACCTGCTTTATATGGTTACTTTGAGAATTAAATGAAAAAATGCATGTGAAGTGTTTAGTACTACATCTAACACATATAAAAGGTTCAATAAATATTATTCATTATTATTACTAACCTAGTCCCTCACTATAAAGCATATCTATACTACTTTCTCCTTTGAGTAAACATGTGAGTCCCTACTGAGCCTTTATTATGTGTTAAGTAGTATTTGTTCATTCCCATTGTGTGTGTGTGTGTGTGTGTGTGTGTGTGTGTCTGTCTGTCTGTCTATCTGTCTCTCACCATGTCTCCCTTGTCTTTTTCACTCTAGAAATTGCATACCCCAGATTATAAAAGGAACTAGGCCAAACTACAAATTCACAAAAATTGAAGCCAAATCAATTAATCAGTGAAAAACAATTCCTTATGGGAGGGGACTCAAATATGATAATGCATATTTTGTGATGAAAATAATGAACAAAATCCAACAGTCATCCCTTAACAATACTTTCTGCAAGACATATTAGATAAATCCAATAACGTAAGTCTCCCTTCAAACAGCTTTGATGTCAATACTGCTAGCCCATCAAGTATTCTTAGTGGTCAGGCATTTTTTAGAAGCATTTTATTCAAGGGGAAAAAAAACAATAAAAATACCTTTGGTACCACTGCTTAGTTTTACCCTCTTTCTCTTGCCCAGACCTTGACTACCATCCTGATCATCCTGAAGGAAAATAAAATTAGCATTATACACAGTCACATTCATAAATTTATATACTTTATAAATGTGTTTACAAATTACATTAAACACACAATATATGCATGCTTACATAATACTAATCAACATCTATGTATTTGCTATAAAATATATTTCAGTGCTGTTAATTTTGACTTAAAAATATAGTGAAATATCCCTCATATTAAAACACAAGAGCTCGTAAATATAATCTCTGCTCCTAATGGAAGACTCTTAAACACCCCAAAATGCCAAGGCAAAAATTTTCCTAACCTTGTAAATTAACATCAAATGCACAAAGAAGCTAAAGGGTGGAATGGGAGAGATTATTATAGGAAGGTAGGAGAGAAGAGAAGACTAAAACAATGAATAGAGGAAAGGCTTTGAGGAGTCTAAGACAAAATGAGTTGAGGAAATCAAATTTTGAAAAATAAGCATAACATTAGAAGTTGCAGTTGACACTTAAAAATAATAAAAACAAATTAAAATATGCTTAGAAAAAAAAATCCAAAAAGGAAATATAGACATTTCTGCTCAATGTAATATACACATTCTAGAAAAACTTTGCAGTAAAAATAATGCTTAATGTCGGGGTGGGGAGGGGGCAAGGGGTGGACACTCACAATCTTTTCAAGTTTATAACCAGAGAAGTAACAACATCAATAACTGGTACCCAGGGAAATCATTTGCATGCCCAGGCAAACATAAGTAACAACATCAATAACTGGTACCCAGGGAGATCATTTGCATGCCCAGGCAAACATCTTGTGGTGGTTTAAGGCTGTATCAGAGCATATTAACACTGTATAACAGAGTAAGAAGGCCAGCCAGCTACGACAATGCAAAGAAAGGAATCTGCCTGTTGTAAAACCAAGGTAAAAGTAGTGGTGCACCTCTTGGGGAGGAAGCCCTAGGTGTAGGTGCTCATTTCGGATTTTCTTAGTATAGTGCTAAAAAGACTCCTGCTGTCTTTGCAGGAGAGTTCAGTTTTTTCCTCTCCAGCTAAAGGTGATGATTCTACCTCACTATACCAGCTCTCCTAAACCAGGGAATGTTACATATGAATCAACAACTGCCACATTATACTGACATATTTTCCCTATTTTCCAAACACATATGAGCCAACTAATATTTATAAACAGGTGTGATAGTATTTGGCATATAGTCAGTTGTGCTAACAATGGTGCTGGTGGCAGGTTAGAACTGTAGTATAAAGATACTTTTCGTATAAAGATACTAAACTACAGTATTTAATATCTATGTATTCCAAGATACTTTTATCAATTAGCAGCCATCCAATCTCTAAAGCAGAAAAGTAGCCTCAGTTTTATGCTGTAGCTCTATTTACTGGTGCAGCTTCCTTGGCCTAAATCTAATAGCTTTAACTTCAGGTTTCCTTAAGTTCAGCATCAATCCTCAGGGCCATTCTCTGGGGTTTTCCAGAGCTATCACTTAGCTCAGTCATTCAGCATTTACTGGGCACTTCAATATGTCCTCTCGGTTAATCTCCACCTTTGCCAGGCCCTTCTGACCATACACCTGGCAACAGAACTGACAGTCAAACTACAATTTCCTCCTCTTCTGCCACTCTCAGCTTGCCGCTGGAGAAATGCACCAGAATTAAATATGAAGCCTTAAAAGACAGAAGACAGACTCAGGAATATAAGTATACAGGGCCCAGGGGGTTCAGAAATTTGAGATTTCAGCTAATAGTCATTTATGAAACTGGCTCTCCAACACCTGAGAGAAAAGGCAAACTTGGAAAAACATGTTATGTCCCAGGTTAGGATTATTCCATAATTTCAAATATAAACTTCCTATGAAAAGAATATCCTTGATCAAGGATGTTCACGGCAGTATGAAGTTTTATAAATGTCCTGGCTTTAAACACTTAAAGTACAGGTAGAATTTGTAAAGCGAAGGAGGGGAAAGTCATGCCACGAAGAGAATATAGCATAAGCAAAGGCAAAAGACAGAAGTCTGAAAATGCGGACCACTCAGTGGGCCTAAACATCATGGTAGATATCAAATACAGCTAGGAAGGGAGATTATCTGCATCTAAGCTTCTGGGAAAATGGGCACTCTTATATACCAACGGTGAGAATATACAGTAGTATAATTTCCCTGAATGGCAATATGGCAATCTTTAGAACGGAATTCCAGTTCTAGGAATTTAACACAAAGAATTAAACAGACAAGTCAATTGGGACTATATGCATACCTATTCATCACAATGTTATTTATAATGGTAAAAAAAAAAAAAAATGTCTTTGGTTCCCAATAAAAGATGATTAGGTAAATAAATAATAGCAAACTCATACCATACAAAGAAAAACAATGCTGGAGCTCTATATTCATTGTGACCACACGGATGTTCAAAAATCATTATTATAAATGAGAAAAGCATGCTATTTAAAATAGCATATGCAGTATGAAATCATTTAAGTATTGATAATATTCACACATAAAATCTGTTAGTATTTTTATAGATGTTCAAATCTGTCATTTAAAAAATGACAAGTTATACAGAAGTATATATAGCATTAAACCATTAAAATATACATAAAATCTGTTAGAATGTCAGATGTTTTAAAGTCATAGCACAGATGAAAAATAATAAAAAAATTTTTAAAATAAAGAATGTCACATGTTTACAGTGAGTCACCACTAAGTGATAGAGATTTAGGTAATATTATCTTTTTCTTATTATTTATTTTCTATTTATTTAACAATAAATATGGATTGTAGTTTTAAGTTAATAAACATCTTTTTAAAATACAAGTCTGATTTCCAATACTACTTGCTCCAACAATAACTATATTATCAGTCATAAGTCCTACATTTTTATTTTTAGAAAGTATAATACCGTTAACAAACAGGAATCACTCTCAAGAGTGGGGAATTCAGGAATTAAGGAAAATGAAAACAAACACCTCTCATAACCACAATTTCCCAGCCCTCCAAATTCATGACATGGAGCTGAGGTTCATTTGTCCCTGAGGAAGCAGTATAGGAGCCTAAGAGAAGATGACGGTCCAACTGACAAGAGGAAATAAAGCAAATATAATCCCAACCCAGACAGCATTTACACAGCCCTCAGGAATACTTTTCAGGCCTTAAACGGTCCCTAAGCAGGGAAGTAGGCACCACTGCTGCATGTGTTTCAGGCACAAAATACGGACATAGGTCCAAATCATTTTGGAAAAGAAACAAGAAGACATGAGACAACAAAATCCAAGAAAAAGAGATTCAAACTCCCAATCTACAAAATCTACAGATGGTTTCTCAACCCAAATTAACCTTTCTTTTTTTTTTTGATGGATTTTCTAGAGAGATGAAAACAATGTGAGCTTCATAAAAAGAAGTCAGGTAAATTCACAGCTGGTTACAACAATACACAAAGAATATTAATACAGAACACACAGGGCTAGAAGGAATATTTAATATGTCACCTTATAAAAATAAAATTCAAAGACCCTAAAAGACTAGAATGATAAGATGAAACTTAAAGATTTATGTAAGCCCCTAAAATCAGACTGTTTGCTTTACGTTAACTTCACAAGTACAACGCTAGAAGGGAAATCTAACTTGTCAGCTGTAAGGTGGGGCCCAGAGGAAAATGCTAGGCATTTATTTTACCTCTGTGGCTCCTGCCAACAATTTAGGTAGCTGCTAAAAAAAATAACAAAAAGCTTTGGGCTTTAATGAAGACACAGCATGCCTATCAAAAGATGTCTCATCACTGTGCACTGAATCAGAACACAGATTTTAAAAGGGAATGAGTTTACCAGACAGATGAAAAGAAAGAACTATGCACAACAGAGAACACTGATATCTAAAGGTAAATATTTAAAACAGTGTCATATGGAAATAAAAATCTTTCTAGAGGGCAAAACAAGAAATATGTGAATGTTACAATATTTAGCACAAGATTGAGAAGAATTTAAATATTAGAGCTATCAAAGGAGTAAGCTGCCTCATAAACTAGGTAAGCTCCCTACGATTGGAGGTATTTATGGAGAGGCTTATCAACTGTCAGGAATGTTATAAAATCAATTCCTGCACTGGAAAAGAAATACATGAAATATTTCTAAAACCTTGCCCACCAACAGTTTATGTGATTCCCCACCCCACCCTCACTATTAATGTATTTTATGATACCAAATTAAAATTAAACCCTATGCCTCCAAAAGTAAAATTAACTTTTTTTCTTTTACCTGTTCATTTATGAAAAGTATCTCTAATTTTTTATTTCAATTGTCCTACTTTTGCTATTATTTTTGGAAATAATAATCCAAATGATTCACTTGGATTGTGTCTTGAATAAAGAAAAGAATATTCAAAGCATATCTACACAGTAACTTATTTTATTTTGAAAAATGATTACTTCTCAATCATGTAAGAGTATACGGGAAAAAGACAAAAGTAAACAAGCAAAATTTACAAACAGTGATAATCTTTGGATGGTAAGGTTGAATGTAAATGTTTTCTTTTTGTTTTGTCTGTCTGCTTTGAGACAGACTATCCTTCTGTCACCCAGGCTGGAACGCAGTGGCCCAATGTCGGCTCGCTGCAATCTCTGCCTCCTGGGTTCAAGTGATTCTCCCACCTCAGCCTCTTGAATAGCTGGGATTACAGGCACCTGCCATCATGCCCAGCTAATTTTTGTATTTTCAGCAGAGACAGGGTTTCACCATGTTGGCCAGACTGGTCTCAAACTCCCAACCTCAGGTGATCCACCCGCCTCAGCCTCCAAAAGTGCTGGGATTACAGGTGTGAGCCACTGTGCCCAGCTTATGTTTTCTTTTTTATACCTTCTTCTATTTTTCAATTTTCCCACAAAGAACATTCATATTTTCATAGCTTCATAGGAGAAAAGTATCTTAAATGATTTCATTTTATATTAACAGCTAGGTACTTCAAAGTCACAGAGATTAAAGATCTGGCCACTACATACAGATAAATGGGCACTGCTTATGATTACAGCC